TAATTCTTATAAACTTTGGTATTTGAATCATTATAAACTTTGTGATAGCTGCAATCCATCCTCCAGATTGACAGTACGGTTTAATACTAAGTGTAATAAGTATATTTCCTTATTGTCATACATAGTACATAATTGCACGTATGGGGCTGTTCCATTTACCTCCCTATTTATTCTCCTCGTTTTCTGTTAAGACACTCAGAAGAATTTTTAGGATGAAGTTTTCAAGTTCAATTTGCTATACTCAAGTTTTAAATATCAGGAATTTCTTTTTCAGTTTTATTAAACAATAGATATTTTATACAAAATTTGAAAATATCCTGAGTTACTTTACAATTTATTGATATATTTTAATTTTGTTTTATTAGTTTTATTAAATTGTAATATCAATATAGCTACAGGTTAAGTACTAATTGTAATTAAGAAGCAGTAAAATCCTTATCTTCAAACACTAAGAAGGTTAGGTTAGTTCGTGGTTTTCTTATTCAGCTTTTCAGGTAAACTCAAATATTCACAATATATTTGACAGTACAGGTTAATACTAAATGAAAATAAGTACAATTCCTGACTGCTATGAATAGTACATAATTGCACTTACTTGTGCTGTTACATTTACCTCCTCATTTTTGGAGGACGGGTCAGATAGATCATAGATCAGTTTGTGTCAAGGACCTTTGATAATATTGTGTTACTATAGTAATGCACAGATTATGTTATGCAGATTCAGGTACTGTATGTAGAATACAGAATGGTAATGAAAAAAGATATTGGCAAGCACCTCAAATATATGGGACACATGCTCAGGAATGAACCTCAATACAAGTCAACACGATCTCTAGATTGGATGGAACAATCAACAATTATTGCCAGCTGCCACTGGGACATATAGACAGAATATATCCTACACCTTGCTACTGAGGAAGAGTCATGATCAGGTTGTGGGGACGACTGCCGGAGTCCTGACAGTCTCCAGGTCAAGCCCACCATAGCTTCCATCTTCTTTTATCCTGTAACTAAACTTAGGGAATTACCTAACTATCATATAAAATAGCACCACAAATGTGTTAAACATCATCACTGCACTTGGCTACAAATGATTGAAGGGAGATCACTGAAGTGTCGGATGATTCCCTCGTTGTCCTGACTACCTGCCTACATTACAGTACCTTCTATGGACTGTTTGCCCCCTGGATCTACATGCTCCACCAGCGACCCAGGATGCAACAACCATGCACATTCCTTTCTCCTGCTACAGCTACCCTGCATGGTCTCAGTGATCAGGACCATCCGCCCCAGATCTACATGCCCCATCAGCAACCCAGGATGCAACAACTATGCATATTCTTTTTTCCTGCTACGGCTACCTGGCATGGTCTTAGTGATCGAGTTCATCCGCACGCTGCCTGCATCGTTTGGCACCAGATCACAGGCTCCACAGCAACCCAGGGAACTATAGCCTCATATTTCTGTTTTATTCCTCTACTTTCATCCCCTGGGAGGGGAAGTTATGTAGCAAGTACAGTATATTAACTAGTATACTAGTATATATACTTGCTCCATATTCTCATTAGCATAATTGCAGATAATAAGATGGGTTTCTTAATTCTACATAACCTATCTCTAAGCGTTCTACATTCCTAGAAGTCCTACACTAATTCATGGTCCACTAAAATTAATACCTCTTCCCAAGGGTACAGGATCAATCAGGCTAGCCGACAGGTAACCTACCAGATGTTGGTCAGTTTGACCTAGGTGAGGGGAAGCTTGTAATATAAGCACTCTTCAGCGAATCATCATCAGTCTAACTTTGACACTTGAGACATACCACACATCTTCAACATTCACCAGCAACACTGTAACACTCGGCGAGTCCAGTTCCTTCCCTCCCAAAAAAACTTCAGCCTTGCTACAGAGCAGACAGCAAGATTCCAGCCACATCAGTCCCTGTGGTGCAGATGTAAGACGCTTGCCTGGTGTTTTGCGAGCACTTTGTCCTGAGTTCGTATCCTGGCCGGGGAGGATTTACTGGGCGTCAATCCTTAACTGTAGCTTCTGTGTACCCAACAGTAAAATAGGTACCTGGTTGTTAAACAATTTGGCGGGTCTTATTCCACGGAACATAGGATTAAGGACTTGCCCGAAATGCTATTTGTGCTAGTAGCTGTACAAGAATGTAAGAACTTTTGTATATATAAATAAATAAATAAATAAATATAAGAAACCACTAAACACTTTGTGTCTTATCACCAAAACACACACACATAACTCTACATTACATGATGATAGCTCGGTGATTATTGCCTTGCTAAAACTCTGGTTAATGTAATTAACAATTTCCTGTTAGTATTTGCATGCTTGCCATTGCACAAAGCCTTTGTAACGAGTATATTATGTAAATAATACACTGTACTCACTCGCTCCAAAAACTCATTAGCTTAATCAGATTAGCACTAGGGACAAAACTCATACCTCTTCCCTAATTACAGGTAACATTCCTTCTAACCTGTTAGAGAACGATGAGGTGAGGTGTGATCCGATAATATAAGCAATCAAGAAGCAAGTAATCATCCGTCACGCAGGGTGCAGTCGCACCTCCACAGATCTGCAGTATCAGCTCTTGATACTGGCAATGGCTCAAAAGGGCCACCACTTACGGGCTATTCATGCCCATGCCACCTTTTGGGTGGCTTAATCTTCATCAATCACTCATCAATCGAGTAATCATCATTGACGGGAGACATCTCCCATCATGCAGGGTGCAGTCGCACCTCCCCAGATCTCCAGTATCATCTATTGATACTGGTAATGGCTCAAAAGGGCCTCTACTTATGGGCTATTCATGCCCATGCCACCTTTTGGGTGGCTTAATCTTCGTCAATCAATCAATCGAGTAATCATCCACAGTTCACCCAGTGAACCAATTCCACGCTGACTGTCTCCAGCAGCACAGAGCCTCACCTTCACTCACCAGACACCAATCCACAGTGAGCATTTGAATTAAATCATGGAATACTAATTGAATTGTAATAGATCCAGCAATGCTGCTCAGTGTAGGAAAAAGAAAATCTATACTCGATACAAATTCTGAAAGTGACGGCGAGTGGAATTGTGTGACTACGAACTCATTGTTGATGTGACGATTTATATTAAATTTTGTAACTAGCTCATCAAGATTGTAATTTGCTTAGCTAAATGAATTGTGGAGTTCAGTCCCTGAGCCCATTATGTGCCTCTGTAACCCTTTCCACTACCGCCCACAAGATGGGTATGGGGTGCATAATAAATGAACTAAACTAAAAAACTAAAACTGGTGTCCTGACTGTTATACTTAGAGTTAGATTTGTTACATTCGCCTCACTGCTAATTCTAGACAATAGGCCATAAGGTTTCTGCAGAGTTTGTTACTAGGCTATAAGATTACTTTTATTTTACTACCGGTGTACAATTTAAGTTGTTTCGTGTACTTTGAGTTAGCCACGGCTATGTTATACATTTGTTAAGACCTACTTAGAAGTCTGTTTTACTTCTGCAGAATTATTTATCCTGTACTAATAAATTATGCCCCCATACTGTTGGTGTCTTCCTTCCCCTGATCAGAAATATCTGTTCTTAGAAAGAAAGCCAACAGTTTTAGAAACTTTTTTTGCTATATTTAGAATGTCACCAGGAAATTCAGCTTCTTATCGATGAGGACACCAAGGAATTTACCATCAACTTTACTACTGATTTGTATATTGTTTATTCTTAGATTAATTTCATTTGAGGATTTATTACCAAACAAAATATAGAAAGTTTTGTCAATGTTAAGGGTGAGTTTGTTGGCAGTTAGCTGAAGATGGACTTTATTTAGTTCAGTATTCAAAGTGACATTTAGAGCAAGAGGGTCAGGACTGGAGAAAATGAAAATTGCGTCGTCAGCAAATAAGATTGGTTTGAGGTGTTGAGAGGCATTTGGAAGGTCATTAATATAGACGAGAAAGAGGAGAGGGCCAAATATGCTGCCCTGAGGAACACCAATGTTTATGTGTAGTGTAAAAGAAATGGAATTATTCACAGAAACGTACTGGAGCCTGTCAGTAAGGTAAGACTGAAGGTATTGCAGGGAGTGATCTCTGACTCCATAATGATGTAATTTAAGAAGAAGGTTTAGGTGGTTGACAGTGTCAAAAGCCTTATATAGGTCCACAAATAACCCAACAGGGAACTCATTTTTCTCAAGAGCTGTATGTATCAAGTTAATCATACTAATAAGTGCATCGTATAGTGCTTCTATTGGATCTGAAACCATATTGGCAAGAGCAAAGTATATTGAGTTTGGCTAGATATGAGTAAAGCTGCTTGTAGATTAGTTTTTCAAATATTTTTGACAAGGTTGGCAGAATTGATATAGGTCTGTAATTGTTGACATCAGTGAGATCACCACATTTGTGGACTGCATGGGGTTACTCTCGCTTTTTTTTTTTTTTAGAACATCCGGAAAGGTTTGGAATTCAAGTGATTTGTTGAAGAGTAATGCAATGGCAAGAACTAGAAATCTGGAGGCCTTTTTGTAAATCAGAGATGGTATCTCATCAAGGGCGCTTGACTTAGTTTTAAGGGAAATTATTACCTCATTAACATCAGAGGAATTAGCGGGAGCTAGGTACAGAGACTCTAAGATAGTTAGAGTCTCTGTAAGGTTGTCTTTAATGTTAGTGAGTGAGGATGGAATAGCATGAGCAAGGGATGTCCCGATGGATGAAAAGAACCTATTGAATTCAATAGCAGTGTCTGACGCCGAAGCTAGTTGCTAGCTATAGAAGCTAAAAGCTATAGCTAGTTGTTGATCTACCCTTTGTAATCTTTCATATTGAACGGGGTAGCAGCATATTGCTGTGTATACCTAAGTTTGTTAATACAAAAAAAACATGGCTAAAGAAAATATTTAGCTCATTTTACAAAATTTTTTTATTACCAATTCACTACAAATTCGCGAATTTTAGGCCTTGAGCTGACGACTTGAAGCAGCTGACCGCTACACGAACGTCAACACCTCCACCCAGCCGCTCCACGTGCTGCACCACGGCTCTAGTCTCTCTTCTACACTAATATACAGCTTCTGTGACCTGTAAGACCTCCCTCATATTCAGGTTCTGTGGCCTGGAAGAGCTCCCTCATATTCACCTGTGACCTGGAAGACCCCTAATATTCAGGTTCTGTGATCTGGAAAATCTCCTGGGTGTACTGATCTGGAAGACCTCCCTGATACAGTTGTGACCTGGAAGATCTCCCTGATACACAGTTGTGACCTGGAAGACCTTCCTGATGCACAGTTGTGACCTGGAAGACCTCCCTGATACAGCTATGACCTGGAAGATCTTCCTGATACACAGCTGTGACCTGGGAGACCTCTGATACAGAGCTGTGACCTGGAAGACCTCCCTGATACACAGTTGTGACCTTGAAGACCTTTGATACAGCTGTGACCTGGGAAGACCTCTCTGATACAGCTGTGACCTGGAAGACCTCCCTGATATTCAGGTTCTGTGACTTGGAAGACCTCTCTGATTCACAGGTAACAACCCGTTCTCCCAATAGCACATTGCATTTAGATGTATAATTTACTTAAGGCCAGAAAACTGATTTACAAAAAATAGCAGGTTGCAAAATTGACATGTTTTGTTTTCTGTTCGGGGGTCCTCAGGTTGGTTAAGTTAGGACACATTAGTGACAGTGGGAACGCTCGGGACAAGCGGACCTGTGACCTGTATGCACAGCACAACACCACACAGTAAAATATACATGATGTACATCGTCCATAGTGTAGTGATTGGGTGCTGTACATCGCATAACTGTAGATAAGGTAGGAATCAGTATTGATGAGGAATAATGTGACGTTTACAATTAATGACAGGAGCTATCTAGGTATTAAACATTGGGTGTAGGGAAATTGAACACATGACAATTTGACAGTGCACATTCTTGTATTGTCAGAATCGTATTTATAGCATTAGGTTAAGCCTACAGTTGGTTAGGGTGTGTTGGGCTTGCTTGGGTAAGGTAAGGTTTTAAATTATATTGGCAAACTATCTTGTGTATGATGTGACTTGCATTCTTAAAAATTATGGTGGAGTACACAAATCAGTTACCCCTAAAGTGGTTAATAATAATGAGTCTTAACATATAATACTCAGCTATGCTATCATAATAAAAAGATTGTACTGTAGTGGGTACAAATTTGGTTCAAGCAAGATACTCATTTTGTACACAGATATTTTCTTTGTACTGTTATTTCTCATCTTAATTAAAAGTTAAGATAAATGTTCTGTATGTGTATGTGGTCGAACCCTTGTTAGAATTTGACCAGATTGTCAATTGGGTTAACCCATGTGTTGCGTTTCCACAATGGTCGCCCAAGTTAAAATCGGTGAACGCCCCAAGAATATTGTTGAAAACATCTTGATAACGTATTAAACCAAAAAAACAAAGCTTTTTAACATTAGGCTATGCTAGGTTAGATCAGGTCAGGTCAGTGTTTTACCACTGCACCATGGGGACTTCATATCTATGGGGAAATTTTGAACGTTAAAGTCAGCGTTTGCCGATTTTAACTTGGGCAACCATTGTGGAAATGCAACACATGGGTTTACCCAATTGCTACTTGGGTCAGATTTCATTATGGTCTAGAACAGGGCCACTAACCCTAGTGGCCTTGATGAGCACAGGAAGCCGGCAGCTTGTCGAAGGTCCCCCCATTTGCCTTGATCTTTTCCAGGTACAGTATACTGTATTTGAAAACTGAACAAAGTTTTGGCATTTATGGCTTTGGCAGTTCCATGGGTTAATAACCCTGTGGGTGAAAAAGCATCTCCTGTTCTCAGTCCTACATTGTGGCTTGTTGAGCTTGAAACCGTTGCTCCTTGTTTGTGTTACATGAGACCTTTTGAAGATGTTGTCTGGTTAAACATCCTCTAACCTGTTCATTATTTTAAGTTTCAATGAGGTCTGTCTTGTCATGCCTGGTTTACAGTGTTGTTAGCCCTGTGGCCCTCAACCGTTCCTGATATGAGAGATGTCTAATAGTAAGTGAAGCCTACTGTATGGTATAAACCTATTGGTGACCTATCTCTTGTATCCGTAAATCTAGCTTTTCTCAAACCGAGTACTGCGGAACCCTAAAATAACTAGGGGTTCTGCAAAAAATAGTGATCAGTAGACTAATTCTAATATGCAAATGTAATTTTTAGTCAGATTTGTGTTTAATTTTAATCTTTTTAACCAGTAACAAGGTTGAGAAAAGACAGAATTTTTTTCCTTCCATTTGACAATGAAGTCTGTATGTATTACCTGGAATTATTTCAAGAGGTACTAAGGTTGAGAATGCTGCATTAACCTATGATATATGTTAAGATTAAGTGAAGCATATTGTATAGTGTAGGCTTACAACACACACTTTACAAAAATACAGTATATAGTTCCTGGAATTAAAAACTATGGAGGAAACAATTATTTTATTAAATGCTTGTGTACAATATGGTCAGTGCAGACACCGCGTTATTTCTTGCAGGGTCGGGGTTCAACCTCTGATGGTCCAAGGGGTTGGCCACTGTTCCTTCACTTCATCTTCATATTTCTTCCTGGTGCTATATGGTCATGCTGGTTTAACACTTTCTTCTCATAATTACATTACTTGACAGGCATTCTTCCTAAGTGTTGCAAATACAGTACATTCAATACTTGGTTCTTTGACTATGAGTGGCTGACAAAGGTGACTTTTTTCAAGTTTTCATAAATTTATTTACAAATCTATTGGATAAAATCATTGTTGGGGTAAAAGTTGAAGATTAATAATTTATACATGACAAATTGGCTAATTAAGTTGTGTAAATGATTAGGATTTATATTTTCATATTGCAGTACAGTGCTGTAGCTGTATCATAGGAAGAAGCATGTTAATGCATATACAGTACAGTGTGTGTGTGTGTATGTATATAATATATCTATCTATTGTGATTCTACAGTCTTACATATACAATCAACTATAGGACATAATTTCACTTTTTCCGCAGAGATAAACTTCGTACAATGTATAACGGTGATGATATGCCTCCCTTAGAGGAAGATGTTTGTGAAGTGTGCCCTACACCTGCAGCTCCACAAGGAAGAAGTGGCCCTAATGTTAATTCTTCCTGTCCAAGAGTAAGTAGGAGCCCTAATGTTAATTCTGCCTGTCCAAGAGCAAGGAGGGACCTGGACAAGCTGGGTCTGGAAGACGTAGTATGTGAGGATGATGACTCTGAGTGTGATGATGAGGAAACCTGGGAAGAAATGGAAGAAGTAATTTGTGGAAAAACAATATGCTTGTTTTGCAATAATGTTTCATCCACAGTGCACATCACCTTCGCTCACATGATTGATGCACATGGATTTGACTTTGTGGCTTTTGTGTGCAAATTTAGTCTGGACCAAGTTGGTTTCATCAAGCTTGTTAACTATATTCGACGTGAGCAACCAGCACCTAACATATTATTTACAGAAGAGACCATTAAATGGGACAGTACTGACTACATGAAACCAGTAATAAATGAGGACTCCTTACTGATGTTTGGTGAGTACAGTACTTTAAATTATATTTATATTAATAAGACACTAGATAGACTGAAGCTTTGGTGATTGAAGCTTTAGCTTATCTAGGTACTGTGTGTTAATTCATCAGAATGTTTTGTGTACATTGTTTATTACTTTCTGGAGGGAGACTTGTGGCTCTTTGAAGCTATCTTCCTGTGATTGCTTCATACTGAAAGGTCATATCAACAGTGGCTAATTCTAATAGGCCTTTCAGGAACCAGTGCCAGAACCTGGCCCCCCCCCCCCTCACAAGAGGCATAGAGAGCAGGTGACAATTCACAACCTCATCAGAGGAAGCCTCCAGAAAGTCAGTGCAGCTTTTCAGACATTTGTCTGGTTCTCAAAAAATGAAGTCTCGAAAAATCACAAAACTAATGCCAATGAGTCACACTGAACAAGGAATTCACTCAAATGAACTAAAGACGTGTTAGTACTGATTATCACCACCAGGCAGCCTGGCCCCAGCTCCCAGCCAGCTCCCAGCCAGCCAGCTGTTGTATTGTTTCCAATTTTAGTGTAAGCTTCATATCTGGGTTTTGATTCTGACTTCTTGTGTAGTTTTGGATCTTTTTGGGCTGCATGTACTTGGAGTTTTCTTCCCTGTGTGCCCATTGACAATGCCCTTGCACAGCCAGAGTTACCTTCTTAGTTTTTTGGGGGGTTCGTCTCTTTAAGCCGGCCCACTGGGATGGGGGCCCTTACCTTGGGCTGTTTAAGGGTCTTGTTTCCTCTGTTGGGCCCTCAGTTAGTGATGTTCTTTGGTTGAGTTGGGGCGCACTGGGGTTTGTGTGTTTGATAACATGGCATGCTACGGGCACCAGTTTGCAGCACAGGTAGTCAGGCTGGAGGTAGTTTCCAGTGTCTTCGGCGAGTAGTCCCAGTGCCTTGAGTACCACTTGGTTATCCTTTGGGCCCTGAGAATCACCTCTGGTGTCTTTTGTGGTCCTTATAGAGCAGCCCGGCATGCCTGGTTTCTCGTATTGTAAATTAGATTTGATGGGTGTTCATCGTCTTTGCTGTATAACAGTGATAATTCTTTCTGCCCCTGCCATGTTGCCTGTTGGGTCAGTTATGTTTACGACTCCGACTCCTGTGAGGTGTGTTCTCACTGGGTCTTAAGAGATTCCTCCTCCAGGCTGGAGGCTTCCAGGCAGCTGCCACTTTATTGGTTAGGTTTGCCTGTGTGAAGTGAACCACTTCATTGCTCGACTGGAAGCCCCTGAGTTGGCCCCTGTGGTGTTTAGGGACCTGGAATTGGAAGTGTTGGTGATCTTGGTCTGCACTGCCTCTTCCTTCACCTGTGGGTGTGGTTCACCCTGCTTCTGGTCTTACCCCTCCTCTGTTCCAGCTTTGAAGCATCTGAGGGTTTCAAAATTGGCCTGGGGCTTAGCTTGGGGGTGTAGCTTGGCTTTCTCCAGGGGTGGTCCCTTCCACGTTGGCAGTGAAGGTAGTTGAGCCTTCAAGTTCCCCTGGGATTTCAGGGCACTTGCCTTCACAACCATCTGCTGGCCCCCTAGCCCCATATTTAGGAGAACATCTTCCTTTCTCAGGTGTTGGGTGAGGACTTCTGCTCTGTTCCAGGGTTGAGGGGAAGCCCAAGGAGGGCCTTGAGTGCCTTTCATTCTTGATTGGGTCTTGGTTCCCTCTGTGCAGGGTCTTACATTGTAGGGGGATCATTTTTCTTATTCTCCCCTGCCATGAATGAGGAGTTGGATCATTTGGCTGTTCCTCCTTAACCACTGCACTGCGCAAAGCGCCTTTAGGCGCTCTGAGATTTGTGCTTTTTGTTTTTTAATTAGGCTATATTTTAATATTTTTAAATGTTTTCATTACTCTTTGTGTTTTGAAATGGAAATAGTTGACTTTGGAAACATTTTGACATTAACTTTACCAAAACAATTATAAAAATAACAAAAATATATCCTTGAAAATTGCACCAAGACATTTTTGCCGAAAATGGGTGAGCAGTGCAGGGGTTAAGTTGGTTCTTGGGGTGGCCTGACTGCTAAGTGGACAGTGCGGTCCTCTGGTATCTGGGGCAGCCCCTTTCGCCTCACGACCTATGGGTTCGTCCCCTAGTGTCTTTACATCGGTTGCTGCATCACAAGGGGTCACCTTCAAGGAGCCACCAGGGCTCCTCCAGAATGAGGTGTCTCTTTACATTCAACGCTATTTTTTTATTTATCTTTATAAAACTATGTATTTGCTCATTTGAATTCTGATATAGGTACTAAAATCACATTGAAAATTAAATTTGTTTTATGAAATACTGTACTAGACTTTGTTAAATTATGTTTTTCTGCACCACAAAGCTGAAATTGAAGAATTATATGACAAATTATTTCATTCTTATCACAAAGCTGAATTAAAACAATTATGTGATTAGGTTCTATTGAAGAAGTAATTCCTCTGTTGTATAGTCAGTTCAATATGAAAAGAAACAGATGTTACTGAAAATTTATTTTTCAGATGTGGAGGAGTTGACCAAGGTAAATGAGCTGTTAGACCCTGGCCCTCAAACTTCGTACAGTGAAGCCACTTATGATGAATTGAGAGAAATAATTGTGAAACAGCGTGAAGTTATGCAGAGGATGCTGCAGGCTGTCCAAGCTAACAGTAAGGTAAGGCATCTATGTACAGTACTGTATCATTAATTTTTAAAGTACAGTATGTATTGTGCTCATAAAATACATTCTAAAGTCCTGTTCAGTGTGAAGTACTAAATGGGTGTAAATAGTTTTGGATATAATTTTTTCAATTATATCGAACAAAGGTTAGGGAAAGGATTGGTTCATTAAGAACCGAGACTGGTCAGATAACGGATAATGACGAAGAGATGAGTAGTATTTTTAATAAATATTTTGTCTCGGTATTTACTAAATAGAATTTAACACTATGCCTTCAGCCGAACAAGTCTATGTTGGTGGGGACAAGGACAGGTTGACTAGTCTAACAGTTACCAGGGATGATATTATTAAACAAATAGTAAAACTCAAACCAAACAAATCCTCTGGGCCGGATGAAGTGTTTGCCATGGTGCTTTAAGAATGCAAAGAGGAGCTTTGCGAGCCATTGTATACCATATTTAATAAATCATTAGAGTCAGGCAGAGTGCCAGAGTCGTGGAAGGTTGCAAATGTGGTACCAATTTTTAAGAAAGGGGATAGATCACTTGCATCAAACTATCGGCCAATTAGCCTAAAGTCTATTGTGGGAAAGTTACTAGAATTGATAATTGCAAATACCATTTGTCTTCATCTTAAAAAACATAAATTAATAAACGAGTCACAACAAGGTTTTACAAATGGCCGTTCATGTTTAACAAATTTGCTATCTTTTTATTCCAGCATAGTTGAGGCAGTTGATAGTGGTAAGGTTTGCAATGTTGTGTACCTTGACTTTAGCAAAGCTTTTGGTACAGTGCCACATGAAAGACTGATTAAAAAGATAGAGGCTCATGGTATTGGGGGTGCTATATTAAGTTGGATTAGGGCATGGCTATACCAAAGGAAACAGAGAATTAGTATAAATGGGGTTAAGTCAAAGTGGGAAAATTCTGTAAGTGGAGTGCCTCAAGGCTCTGTCCTGGGACCTCTGTTGTTTATAATATATATAAATGATTTAGATTCAGGTTTGAGTAGCAACATTTGTAAATTTGCCGACGATACAAAAATTGGTAGGGAAATTAACACGGAAGATGACTCTCTATCACTGCAAGTTGATCTAAATAGGATTTTGAAATGGTCAAAAGATTGGCAGATGCAGTTTATGGCTGATAAATGTAAAGTTCTGAGGCTAGGTAATGATGATAGAGTTACAAGATACGAGCCAGATGGTGTTGAGAATGCGAAGTTGGATTGCGAAAGGCATCTGAGAGTTATGATTAGTAAGAATTTAAAACCAAAGGATCAATGCATGAATGTTTGTAATAAGGCAAATAGGACACTGGGATTTATTAATCGGAGCGTTAGTAACAAGACACCTGGTGTTGTTCTTCAGCTAGATTATGCAGTTCAGTTTTGGTCGCTGTACTATAGAATGGATATAAATTCACTTGAACGTGTCCAGCGTAGGATGACAAAGTTAATTCCCCGAATTAGAAATCTTTCATATGAAGAAAGATTAACAAAGCTTAAATTGCATTCACTGGAAAGGCGAAGAGTTAGGTGTGACATGATAGAGGTTTACAAGTGGATGAGTGGACATAACAAGGAGGGATATTATTGATGGGGTTCTGGGAGTAGTTCTCTACTCCCCAAGCCTGGCCCAAGGTCAGGTTTGACTTGTCAGTGCTTGGTCTACTGGGCTGTTGCTTGGATCAGCCCACAGGCCCATTCCGTGGAGAAAATTATCTATTTTTTTCTTGAAGATATCCACGGTTGTACCACTGTAACTTTGTGTATAGAAATTTCACAAGCAAGAAGGATTAATACAGTTTCATTACACTAATTACAACAATAGATTTTTTAAACAAGGTTCTCTGGCAGAATAAATTAGACTACTGTATAATTATATCCTACTGAAGGAACCAGCATAGGTTAAAGATAAGGGTCTCATAGTACAATTGGCTTCGTTCTTGACTCTCAGTCGTGGGTCCCAGATTCGATTCCTGGGCAGAAATGGTTGGGCGTGTTTCCTTCTACCTAATCCCTCCGTTCACCTGCAGTAAATAGTTACCTGGGAGTTAGTTAGGCAATTGTTGTGGAGTTGCATCCTGGGGATGGTCAATAGTTTGACCTTGGGGGGGGTGGGGTGGGGGGGGGGAAGCTCACTACACGTTTAAAGAATATATACTGTTTATTCAGGCTTCCTGTCCCTGACAGTGGAAATTATTATATGGTTTTATAAAGGCTTTCTGCCCCTGATAAAATGAATTGTAAATCAGGTAATTAGTTTGATGTTAAATAATGTTTTTGCTAATGGCTTTGTAATGCTTTCCAGAAGGATAATGCGATAATAAGAACAGTGGGAGACATGAGACCGGAAGAGGATGAGGGATACTTTGACTCGTATGCTCACTTCGATATCCACCATGAAATGCTTACAGTGAGTTATGGTACATTGTGAGTCCCTGCTATGACTTGGTTAGTCACTGCTGTAACCTATGAGGCACTGCTGTAACCTATGAGGCACTACTGTAACCTGTGAGGCACTGCTGTAACCTATGATGTACTGTTGTAACCTATGAGTCACTGCTGTAGCTTGTGAGTCACTGCTATAACCTATGAGTCACTGCTGTAACCTATGAGGCACTGCTGTAACCTATGAGGCACTGCTGTAACCTATCAGGCACTGTTGTAACCTATGAGTCACTGCTGTGGCTTGTGAGGCACTTCTGTGGCTTGTGAGTCACTACTATTACCTATAAGGCACTCCTGTGGCTTGTGAGTCACTGCTGTAACCTATGAGGCACTGCTGTGGCTTGTGAGTCACTGCTGTAACCTATGAGTCACAGCTGTGGCTTGTGAGGCACTACTGTAACATATGAGTCACTGCTATTACCTATAAGGCACTCCTGTGGCTTGTGAGTCACTGCTGTAACCTATGAGTCACTGCTGTGGCTTGTGAGGCACTGTTGTAACCTATGAGGCACTGCTGTGGCTTGTGAGTCACTGCTGTAACCTATGAGTCACTGCTGTGGCTTGTGAGGCACTACTGTAACCTATGAGGCACTGCTGTGGCTTGTGAGTCACTGCTATTACCTATAAGGCACTCCTGTGGCTTGTGAGTCACTGCTGTAACCTATGAGTCACTGCTGTGGCTTATGAGTCACTGCTGTAACCTATGAGTCACTGGTGTGGCTTGTGAGGCACTGCTGTAACCTATGAGTCACTGCTGTGGCTTGTGAGGCACTGCTGTAACCCATGAGTCACTGCTGTGGCTTGTGAGGCACTGCTGTAACCTATGAGTCACTGCTGTGGCTTGTGAGGCACTGCTGTAACCTGAGGCACTGCTGTAACCTATGAGGCACTGCTGTAACCTATGAGACACTGCTGTAACCTATGAGGCACTGCTGTAACCTATGATGTACTGTTGTAACCTATGAGGCACTGTTGTAACCTATGAGACACTGCTGTAACCTATGAGGCACTGCTGTAACCTATGAGGCACTGTTGTAACCTATGAGGCACTGTTGTAACCTATGAGGTACTGCTGTAACCTATGAGACACTGCTGTAACCTATGAGGCACTGTTGTAACCTATGAGGCACTGCTGTAACCTATGAGGCACTGTTGTAACCTATGAGGCCCTGCTGTAACCTATGAGGCACTGCTGTAACCTATAAGGCACTCCTGTGGCTTGTGAGTCACTGCTGTAACCTATGAGTCACTGCTGTGGCTTGTGAGTCACTGCTGTAACCTATGAGTCACTACTGTGGCTTGTGAGGCACTGCTGTGGCTTGTGAGTCACTGCTGTAACCTATGAGGTACTGTTGTAACCTTTGAGGCACTGCTGTGGCTTGTGAGTCACTGCTGTAACCTATGAGGCACTGCTGTGGCTTCTGAGTCACTGCTGTAACCTATGAGGCACTGCTGTGGCTTGTGAGTCACTGTGGTGACTTTTGACTTGTCTCTGTAACTTAAGGCAATATTGTAACCTGTGAGTCACTGCTGTAACTAGTTTATAACACCTGTACATTGTAGATATATGACCTGATACCAAATTTATTTTCCTTGGTGAGATATGTTGAATCACCAGTAATTAGGTATCTGTGAACATACTTATAAGAGTACAGTACAAAGGTTTTGTAAATGTGTAGATGACATTAATATGTTTACTTTTTTGCATGCTTTCACAGAAATAATAGTAACTTACGCATTTTCTTTTTTTCAATAGGATCGTGTTAGAACGGAATCCTATAGGGATGCAATCCTGAAGAATTCAAATCTCTTTAAGGGCAAGAAGGTTTTAGACGTTGGTTGTGGAACGGCCATCTTATCCATGTTCAGTGCCAAGGCTGGGGCCACTGTCACCGGAGTGGATATGTCTGACGTTATCTACCAAGCCATGGATATTGTTAAGTAAATTTTGAAGATATTATGTTTCTAATGTTAGGTATTACTTACAAAACGGAGGGTATGGTTGGGTTAGTTTTAAAGATGCTATTCTGCTTCTAATATGTATATTTTGTGTGTAAATAAATATTTAAATGTGATCTTGTACACATTGTAGTGAACATTTATGTCAACAGGGAAAATCAACTGGAGAATGCAATCACACTACGCAAGGGTAGACTTGAGGATCTGGAATTTGAACACAAGTTTGACTTCATCATATCTGAGTGGATGGGTTACTTTCTTTTGTTTGAGGGCATGCTGGACTCCGTGCTGTATGCCAGAGACAAGCACCTCGCAGAAGGTGGTTTACTTCTTCCTAACAGGTGCACCTTGCACCTCGTTGGACTGGAAGATATGGGTGAGTACGCACTGACTTTTATCACGCTCAGATTACTTAGGACTGATGGTGCTACTTTCAATGCACCTCATGTAATTTTGTTTTTTCCAAGTTTTAGGGAATTACATTTATTGGCCACCTCCATTTTTTTTTATTATTATTTAGATGCACATGTTGGTTCAACATATTTTTATTTTGTGTTTTATTTTTAACACTTATGTCTCAACATCCAACATTTATATTAGGGTTATTCCATCTCAAATCACCAAAAAGTCACCTATGGCTCCCACTCGACCCTCTCCAAATGCCATGAAATTTTGTAGTAAGATAGCCCTAGACCCCAAATGACACTTTGCAAAATATTAGAGCTCAATCTGCTTTGGTTCATAAATAACAGGTCCATATTCAATGGGCTCTCATCCCATTAATGCGTAAGTACCACAAAAATAACCAACTTTGTTAAATGACCCTTTGTTAAATCACTTCTATTGCCTGTAGGAGTGTGAAATTTGACATACCAGGACAACTTTTGGTGTAGAATAATGTAGTGTAATCGAAAAAGCAGTATGGGTGGCCATTCAGCTATCCATCCATGCTAAAATCACTGCCAAATTTTGTCGTGAGAAATTTGGACCCCAATTTGGAGACCACTTACTCATCACTAAAAGGTCTAAACGCCATGATTTTTTGCAACGATGTATAACAAGCACAATATTATCCAGTGATGCAATAGCAACTCTGTTGTATCCATATGTCCAGAGGTGGCCCACTTGAAAGTTGGCCAAAAAAATTTTATGTGCAAAACTAGCCAACTTTCAAGGCAAAATATCTCAATATGTGTTATTCCCAATTTGGTTTTGGATGACACCATTGGATAGAGCAGATTTTTCTGTACAAGAGTAACTTTTATTTAGGTTGGGATCTGAATTCCTAGTTCAGCCAGAGGACTCTGAAAATGACATACCTTAGTGCAATATCGAAGTCAAATTATGATTCTCCATCTTCTTTGTGCACTGATCATGACTGCTAGCAAATTGATATCCAATTGCGAGAAACATTGGGCAGAGTTTCTTTCAACCTATGCCTCTGTTACCTAGCAGTATAATAGGTACCTGGGTGTTAGTCAGCTGTCACGGGCTGCTTCCTGGGGGTGGAGGCCTGGTCGAGAACCGGGCCGCGGGGACACTAAAAGCCCCGAAAACATCTCAAGATCTCTCAAGATCACATTGTTTGGATGTGTGATAATGCAACGATAGAGAATTCTTAGGCGGTACAAACATTTGCCCCAAAGAGTGTAAAGTCTAATATTGCAGTTTGTAATAAGTGCTATGTGATGCCTATTGGAATGTGAATTGTAAAATATGATTATTATTTGTATACTGTATGGATTTGGGAATCCCTTGAGGGACCTGAAATAGACGAGGATAGATATAGCCTAAGCTGTTCTCTACTTTTGAGTTGTATTTTATTATTTCAATAAACTTACTTGAACTTGAAGAAATGGATGAAAGGTCATAACAGTGAAGATATTAATAATGTGATAAATATATCAACATAAAATAAAAAATAAAACAATAGATACAAATTGGGTAAGTTTAGGTTCATTCAGAAAAGATGTGTAAATATTTGTTTAGAAAAAAGATTGTAGATTTATCAAACAAATTACCAGGTAACATAATAGAAATGAGGGTCACTGGATTGTTTCATACATAAATTAGACATGTATGAATACTGCATATTTTGTTGGATGTATGTAAGTGGTGCATACATATACTGCCCCATACTGGTATGGGGCAATAGACCTGCAGTTTCCTCAGTTGTTATGTTATGAGTGTGTACTCTCTACTCTGTATAGAACAATGTTATAATGATATCCATTTTATTGGGGTATAATATGTTTATATTAATTGTTTACTGTGATTTCAGATACATATAAAAATATCATATCTTTCTGGGACGATGTTTACGGCTTTAAGATGTCGTGTATACGAACAGAAGTGGTTAAGGAAGCATCTACAGACATTGTTAAGGAACAGTTTATAATAACGTCCACAGGTAATATTAAAACAAGTTCGTGTTTATATTATAGGTCCATGGACTTTAGTTTTTGTAAAGAGAATAATTCACGATAAACGTACCTGAAACAAGCCAGTCCACACACGTCATGGGGTTCACTTCCTGAGCTCACTATGTATCTCTGTAACTTTTTCTACTAGCACCTACACAATGAGTATGGGATATATATAATAAATGAACAAAATGAATCGCCATATACATGAAATGAAATTGGTAAAGTTTCGGTGCATCATGAACATTTATCAAGTTGTGACATCATGTCACAACTTGATAAGGTTACAGGACAAACCAAACTGTAATTTTAATTGTGTGTGGGTTGGGCTATGTTAGCTGTTAATTATTTTTCTATATTAGTGTGGCACTCAATCTCTTTGGCCAGTAAGTTAGATGTAGAGGGTTCCTAAAAAACATTTATGTGAGGGTTCTTGACTAACATTTATGTGAGGGTTCCTGAAATAACAATTATGCCTTTTGTTGGACCACGTTAGGGCCTTAGGTTTTAGTTGGACCACGTTAGAGCCTTAAGGTTTTAGTTGGACCACGTTAGAGTCTTAAGGTTTTAGTTGGACCATATTAGAGCCTTAAGGTTTTAGTTGGACCATGTTAGAGCCTTATCATTGAGTTCTTGTTGGACCATTGTAGAATTTTGAGGGGCACATGTTTGACCATGGTAGTCATAAGGGTTCTCGTTACATTTCCAGGCTAATGGATTGTTTTGAACTATGTTGTGGTTTGGAGAGAGCAAGTCCTATCATTACCCTATTGTGGTTTGGTTTAGTGTTGGGTTATTGTCCTATTAACTACAGGAGGGTTATTAAGGGCATCTCATCATGGTGGTCCTTGGGGTCACATTAGCAGTGCAGGCAATGCATAAAACACTCAAATGTTTAATATATATTTATACAAATGGTGCTGAATAGCCTAGCCAGTTTCAGAACATTGATCCTGGGCCTAAACCCAAACATAATATAGGTAACAGATATATGGCCCCCCATCCCTATTTTGCTTTGTCACTGGGAATGATGATGTTTAGAAGTTATAGGCATTCGTTTTACACATGTCATGTGTAGTACCTTTATGCATTCATTTTGCACACGTCATGTTTAGTAGCCATAGACATTGGGCGTTCATTTTGCATGCGTCATGTTTGGTAGGTATAGGCATTAATATTAATAAGTATTGTTCATGCCAGTTTTACTAGTGTGTTCAACCAGCCCTTCCTCCTAAGATTTCTCAATGTCAAGAAACTGTTGCACTAAAGTACCTTATCTTAAGCTACCAGAGGACCCAAAACAGAAAATTGACATGTCAATTTTGGGAGCCACTACCATTATATAGTGCATAAATTTTTGGCCTTAGGTAGAGTATACGTCAAAATGCAATGTTCTATTAGTCAGACAGATTGGTTCAACATGATCTATAATGTTCCTTCCATTTACAGATCAAATTGCTGACTTTGATCTCATGAAAATTACTCCCAGTGACACTGAGTTTACATCCAAGTTTTCCCTCTCTGTGGCAAGGGATGGTCAACTCACAGGATTTGCTGGCTATTTTGACACTTTCTTTGACATGCCAAACTCAGTATTTTTCTCAACTGGACCACATGCCCCGCCTACCCACTGGAAGCAGACTAAATTTTATTTGCCTGTTCCACATACTGTAAAAAAAGGTAAGTACAAAGGTATTCAGAAAATATATGAAATTTCATATACCACAGAAAAAATACTGTATTTTCTGTGGGGGAGCCCATACGGCTCCCTGGAGCTTATCGGGCTAATGTATGTTATGTTAGACCGGGACATTAGCTATGGAGTTCAGACCTACCAGAGACCAGCGCCAGAACCTGACCCCTTCATAGAGGTTTCAGGGAGCAATTGCCCTGGAAAACCCCATTATGGTTGGGGGTTTTCCTTATCTGCCATCGACCTAGGTTAGGCATCCAGAAAGGTAGGCATAACAAAACGAACCCCACATGGTAAGAAACTACAACAAAAAACCGAACAGAGAGGTAGAAACTCCCTACAATCCCAAGGAAACAATCAAACAATCAATTTACTGCCGCGCCGGTCGTCCGCGCAGCCCTTCCCTACCCGGGAGGGGGAGGGGTGCCCCGGACCTCACCACGCTGGCTGCCTTCAGTTTGTAAGCTAGTGTCAACCGGGATAGACGCTTCTCTGGCCTCAAATTCCTGGGCGGTGTTTGCCTCATGTGGCGTTCTCTGCTGTCTTTGTGTGGTGTGCAGTGGCCAGGAGTAACACTCGCCCGGCAACTACTCAGCATTGAGTCCTCCGCAAAATAGGGGCAAGTCCGGCGAGGACTCAGCATTGAGTCCTAAGTGCGGCAACAGTAGCATTTTTTCGGGAAGGTCTTGTTGCGATTTTGGACATTATATGCATATACTCTTGTAGGGAATTTCATTGCGAATACATTGATACCAAAATTAAAGTCCTAGGACCAGAGTTGAGGTAACAAAGTTGAAAACATTCTATTTGCTCTTTATTAGCGCTCACGGGGGTAACGCTCTGTCACTTTCCTTGCTTGTTGTGGATGGTACGCCGGGCTTTTGGACTTTATATTTGCATACTCCTGTAGGGAATTCTATTGCGAAGACAATGATATCAAAAGGAAAGACTTAAGACGAGAATTGAGATGTCCAAAGTGAAGAGAGTGTACACATTTTATTGCTCTGGCTCGCTCCCGGGTAACACGCTCTCACTTTCTCGCCGGGCTTTTGGGCTTTATATGCATTTAGTCCTGTAGAGAATTCTGTTGCGAACACATTGATACCAAATTGAAAAACCTAGGATGAGAATTGAGATGACAAAGTTGAAAAGAATATTCACTTTTCATAGTGAGAAGCGCCTCGGGGTGGCGCAGCGCTCTCTTTCTTGTAACCGTGGCCTGTTTTCATCATGTCGGCGGGTGGAGATCGCTGCTGTTTTTTATATTATATGCATATAGGCTTGTTGGGAATTCTATTGCGAACACATTGATACCAAAATGAAAGACCTAGGACGAGAATTGAGTTGACAAAACTGAAAAGTGTGTCAACATTTTATCACTCTTGTGCGCTCCCGGGTAATTTTCTCACTTTCTGTTAGTTGCGAATGGTAAGCCGGGCTTTTGGAGTTTATATGCATTTAGTCCGGTAGAGAATTCTATTGGGAACATATTGATACCAAATTGAATATCTTAGGACGAGACTTGAGCTGACAAAGTTGAAAAGATTATACACTTTTCAGAATTTACCGCACTCTCCCTCACGCTCCCGCGGAACGCCCAAGCCCACCTGGGGTAGTGGGGAGGTCCCGGGCCTGGTGCGCAAAAGTGTTAAAAATTCACTAAAATTACAATATGTACAGATTCACACACTGTTTACACAGTAACACTGTATTACACACTTAGTACTTCAGAAGTGAGTAATAATCAACGAAGTAGTTCTTGGTACACAGCGCGACTTCGCTCTCGTTGCACCAGGTACAGATATATTTTCGCTTCCTGTTTCTTCGTTCTGTGTGCTTGCAAATAATGCACTCGCGTACACTCTTGGCTTTAGTACTTGTAGGTGGTATGTAGCCAAACTTGTAAATCATAAGGTAGTATTGAAAAGACTATAGGAAAAGATCAATTTGTAAGGTAGTCTTGAAAAGATCGCTTTGTAAGGTCCCACACTGGAAGAGATTCAGCCAGCCTCGAAGAGTGTCAGTCAATCTGAAAGAGATTCAGTCAACCTCAAAGAGTGTCAGTCAGTCTAGAAGAGATTCAGGCATTCTGGAAGAGATTCAGTTATTCTTGAAACTATCTGGAAAACACCACCATGGAAGCAGCTAACACTGTTCATCTATGCTACTTGTATCAGATGCATCCTCACTGAATGCAGAAAATGATCCATCTATGTATCATCTATATAAATTGGAGATGGCATAGGTGGGCAAGGGTGGCACTCAGAGCTACAACTGGATACGCTCACTGTATTGTCCTCATAGGTGCTGTATCACTTGCATCCAACCTTTGTGTTAGGTCCTTATTGCACCTAGCTTCACCAATATCATGACCCTTATGTTCTTTTTTTTCTTCAAACAATAAGGTCTTAATTTCACCGACAGAGCACGATCTTTCAACACCGCATCGAAAAGGTGTTTGGGAGCCAGAGGCGCGTGTGCCACCCGTGGTTGCTCACTCAGTACTAACCCAGCCAGCAGCCCTAGGGCATTCTGGGAATTTTTTCCAAGATGGCTGCCTCTCACTGGAGGTCCTAAGAGTCCATTTCGTATACAAGTGTACAAAATGTGTACACATTTTGTGTATAAATGCGTACACATACGCGCACACATTTTGAATCGATATGAAAAAATCAAAAAGAGTTTTCTCGGTTGGCACAGTCCATTGATTAATGGAAGAACATAGCGCACACAGTTATATCCACAAGATAACCAGGAAGTAGTCTAAATGAACAGTCACACACAAATGACCTACTAAGAATGTGCGACAGATTTGCACTAAACCATCAAATAGTTGACCCAACTAGAAAAGATAACACACTAGACCTTATTTTCACAAATAATGATGATCAGGAACAGGAACCTGATGATTGAATACAGTGGCACCTTGGTTTACGAATTTAATCCGTTCCAAGAAACAGTTCGTACACCAAAAATTTGTAAACCAAAACAAATTTTCCCATAAGAAATAATGTAAATTGAAATAATCCGTTCCACACACCCAAATATATTAACTTAAAAATACATTTTATACAGAATACTACTCATATTTTTTACTATACCTTACCTTTATTTTGGACTCTTGTTGGCGTATGGAAGACGGTGAGGAGGGGGGCAGAGGAGAGGTGTTAGTGTTTAGAAGAGCAGTCCCCTTCCATTATAACATCAGGCAGTGAAGAAATTTCTGGGGTATTCTCTCCTACGTTTTGCAGGCATACCACTAGGACCCGGTTGTAGCTCACTGCTTGCATGTCTTACTAAGAATCTGTCTATAGACACTTGTTTTTCCCTACATTTTAACACTTGTCTGTAGTGAGACATCACATTGTCATATAACATTACATGTGAGACATCATATTAACATACACTTAACTACTGACTTTGTTGGGACCCATGGCATGATATATAATAACTTATGTTCAGAAACCAAATAAGCAGAAAAAACATTTAATTCTTTACAAAGAATTCAAGTGTGTTTGTCACTAGGCGGGATACACTGGTAAACTGAGTGTGCCTCGCCCCTCGCCCAGCAGAAGCATGTGCTTGACCCATACAAGTATCAACAGACGATTCGTATTCCAAGGCAAACATCGTACACCAAGTCAAATTTCACTTTGAAAATAACTTCTTATACCAAAAAACTCTTAATCCAGGGCACCCGTAAACCAAGGTTCCACTGTACCTGTTACTCGGATCATAAAGTAATTGAAGTTCAGACAAACAGGCAATAGACCTGCACAGCCCGTTCCAAATTCTAGAGAAGGAGAATTCAGCAAATTTAATTTGAATAATAAACAGATTAACTGGGAACAATAAACAAAGATCTCACAGATATAAGCTGGGAAGAACAGCTAGATAGTGCAAACCTAAACCAGTGCCTTGAGAAAATAAGCCCGGTAGCATCAGAAATATGGATAAATCATGTACCTCTTAAGAAAAAAGAGGCAGACTAGCTCGAGAACGACGTTCCCTCTATACATTAAGAAAATGAATTGCAGAATAACTTGAATGCCACACATTATCTCAAGAATGACAAGAAAGGCTATGTAGAGAAATAGAAACGATTGAACTAAAGCTACAAGAATCATATAAAATCCTCGAGAGGTAAAGAGAGCCATGCATCGTCATCTTTTACTGCCTCTTCCTTTAGTAATTATACCTTTGAACTCTCCAAAACAGCTTCAAATCAGGCAAACAGGACAATTATTCTGGGTAAGTAAAAGGCAATGTTTCTTATATTATTTGCCCAAGAGTTGGGTGTTATATGTTACATTCTCAGGCCATCAAAAAACTTCTCCCTCATAGCATTATACAGATGAAAAATCTAGTTCCAAAATACAAACTATTGACTTAAAAATGCTATTTTCATTTTGTTTATTTATATACTATACAAGAGTTCTTACATTCTTGTACAGCCACTTGCATACATAGCATTTTGGGCAAGTTCTTAATCCTAATATTTCCCCGGAATAAGACCCGCCAAATCATATAACAACCAGGTACCCATTTTTACTGTTAAGTAAACAGAGACTACAGTTAAGGATTGGCACCCAGTCAACCCTCCTCGGCCAGGATACGAACCCAGGCCAAAGTGCTCTCAAAACGCCAGGCGAGTGTCTTACCACTATGCCACGGGGACTGCTAATATAATATCTATTTTATAATGCATCCCATTTGTAAGCAGAACTCCCTGTAACACAATAGTAAAATTATACAAACTTCTGGAAATTACTTTTTAAGAGTCAATCCAGATTTCACAGCAAATGATAATGAATCCTATCTGAAGACCTGGATGCCTGTTCAGAAACTGGGCCGTTGGGGATATTAATCCTCATAATCTTCAACAGGCATGTAGTCAACCCCAGAGGGGGGTGAACCAATAGGAAAATTAATCTATTATTTGTATGTGTTTATTATGAAGAGTTTTATATTTTGGAGGTTAGACGATACACCTAAACGTGATATTGTACCTCTGTTGCTATTAATTTTATGTGATAATTACAGTATTTAGAGGTAAGTTCTTCTATTTTTTGAGAAATGAGAGTAATGAGTTTGCTTTTTGCCTTGTTTTCAGGCGAGACCCTTGAGGGATCCATATGCGTGCGGAGGAAGAGAAGACAGATCATATTTTTTCTGGGGGGAGACCCGTCGGCTCCCCGGAGCTATACCAGGCTGATATGCTAACGTCAGACTTTGGCATCAGTCATGTGTATAGAGTTCTAGGGCCTACCGGGGACCACGGCCAGAACCTGGCCCCCCTCAGAGAGGCAAGGGGAGCAATGGCCTATAGAAACCCCCGTGTGGTTGGAAGCATTCTATGTCTGCCATCAACCGGGTCAAGCATCTAGACAGATAAGCATTCCAAAACAAAACAAATGCCCTATTCTGGTTAAAATTGCTACCAAAAGCCGAACTAGTGGATAGAATTTCCCAACAGAAAACAAGCAAACTAGTATGACGTCACTACGCCGCTGTCTGTGCAGCTCCCCCCCCGGTAGGGGGAAGGGGGAACCCTAGACCTCTCACGCCGGCTATCCACCCATCAGTTCTTCGGCTGATGCTATAGGCACCGGTTGTGTGCTCCGGCTCCATTAGTTGTTTCAGCACTGTACCTAGAGTGTTGTGTCTGTCTTCTAGGTGGTGCGTGAGCCGGGAGGGAGTCTCCAGTACTCGGGCTGCATGTGCCTAGGGTTACCTTCCCTAGGTGCGCCTAGGGAAGGCGCACCTAGGGACTGCCCTTGGGGCTTGGGGTTACCTTCCACAAGTTCCTTGGGTTCTGCTCCTGCTAGGCCGTTTACTGCTTGGTTTTCGGCTGCCCTTTGTGTGCTCGGGTGTTCTGTCTTCCTTGTTCGCCTTAGGGTAAGGGGCAAGTTTGCACTGGTGGGGCGCAGGGTGCTGCACAGCTTGTTTTCAACTATATGGCGGCCGGCTCTGTTCCATCTGGGTATGCTGTCCTCTTGCTGGGTTTTCTTTTTATTTTTGTTTATCTGCCTGGTGGGGGGGGTCTGACTTCGTTCTTGCCCCCTGTGTCCCTTGTGTTCTGAGTACAGTATTATTCTGGTGGTTCCCCCTGCTAGGTCCCCGTGAGTGTACACGTCCCGGGGGTTCAGTTCTTAGAAAGTTGTTTTGTAGCTTTGGACGCTGGTTAGCAGTACCTTGCCTGGGATTACCTAAGCGCGAGTCCTATTATAGTAAATGCTCGGGACCCTGGGAAACCCCTGGGGGGCGCGCGGGTCCGATGGATTTGACCCCAGAGTCCTCCCTCGCTTCCAGCGAGTTTGAGGGTTGCTCACCCCTTGTCTCAGGGTGACTCTGTTTTGCCTCCGTCTGCTGCCTGTGGGGTCGGTGACACCTTCGACCCGGAGTCCTGCGAGTTTTGTTGCTTGTTGTGGCTCGGTTACCCAGTTGTATGCTGACTATGCAGGTGCAGGCAGCAGGGGTGTTACACGTTGAGTTTTGGTGGTGGCAACGCTCTCGTTTGTTTGCTCCCTGGGAGCCCTGGGGCTGCCCTGTTTTGGTTGGTGTTGGGACTTGGGGGTGTTGGTTGCTTCGGTTCCTTCCATGCCCCCTTGTCTTCTCCCTGGATCCCCCCTTCCTACCTCCATCCGGTTCCTTACCGTCTGTGGGTTCGGGGTCGGGGCGGGGTTTAATGGTTTTGAGACTGGGGCGGTCTCGAGGAATTCCCCTTCCGGGGTAGTGATGGGGGCATTCGAGCATGTTCCTCCAGCCGTGTTGTAAGAGTCTGCCAGTGGGCTCCCTTCCTTAGTATTTTCGCGGCTGCCCTGGTTTTCTGGTGTGGCCGGGGCTTTGGGGGGACGGCTCGGCCCCAGGGCCTGTCGTGTGGGAACCCGGGGCCTGTTGTGTGGGTTCCCAGGGCTGGAGAGGGGCTGACTTGGGGGGCCTAAGGCCCCATAGGACCCCGCGTTTTTTTTTTTTCTACCCTCTAGGCGGGGCTTGCGGTTACGCAGAGTGGGGTTTTTCCTTCCCCCTCACTGTATGAGTTGTTGGGCATCGGCCCTTCTCCGGACTCAGTTCCTTGTCCTTTGAGTCAGCTGGTTCTGACCTGTAGGTGGGTTCTCTTTTCCATTGCTCCCCCCTTTTTTTTTCTTGAGACTTGGTATCTCCGTCGTGTTTCCCCGTTATTGGGGTTCTACGTGACTTTTGGTCTCGGGTGCGACTGTGCCTTTGTGTGCCTTCGGGACTTGTGTTTGCTTCTGTGTTCTCGAGGGTTCTGGTAGGTTTTCGCTACTTCCCATATTTTTGGAACGTCTGTTGGCACCTAGTCCAGGTCGCTGGATTGGGCTACTCGTGGCCCGGTTGGGTTCCTATTGGGCTCCTTGTCTTCGCTTCGTTGACCGGTTATGTTGTCGCTGCTTACTCTTTTGGCTCGTCCCATGTGATTTTTTTTTTTTTTTAATTAGCGGTTCCCTAGGGTTGCATTCTGTTTGGCTACTTTTCTTGTGCAGTAGTCCTAAGTGGCGCCTTCCCGCAGAGCGGGTTGTGCGGTTCGGCCAGCGTGTCCTGCGCATGCGCCGTGGGAGTTTGTTTTGGTCTGGGCGGTGTGTTCCAGTGCTGGTGTTTTGCGCCCCTTTTTTCTCGGGTGCTTCACCTCTCGCTCTTCTCCCTTTTCCGGTATGTGCCCCATCGCTCCGGGGGTGTCCTGGATTCCAGCTGTGGGGAGGACGCCGAGGTTTTGCCCTGTGTCATGGGTGTGGGCGGCCTCCTTCACCTCTGCCCTGCTCTCCTGCGTGTCCGGCTCTGGCTTCTTCACCTGGCGGTGCTCCCGGAATCTTCTTGACACTGTTGGGTCGTGTCACGTTCGTGCCTCCGTTCGACAGGCGAGTTTCTGCGGTCTGGCATCTTTTGGCCGGGCGCTGGATGTGGAGATATTTATACACCTGTATTTCTTTAGGTATATTTATGTACAAATATGAGACTGTCGGCACACCAGTGACTCCCTTTTCAACCCTTCCAGTCCCACTCATATGCATGTCCAACCCATGCTGGAGTCATTCAGGGGACCCACCTCCTCCGTGTTATGTGGGTTGTGTGGACCCACAACCCTCCGTGTGGGTTGTGGTGCTGGTTATGTACTCGCCTGGTTGTGCTTGCGGGGTTTGAGCTCTGGCTCTTTGGTCCTGCTTATATGGAAGAACATGCAGGATAGTACCAGTGGAGAGCAGTGGTGCCATAGGTACATTCGGGGAACACTGTATAATCATCAGAGGTCTGCAGTTGTTCAACGTCCTACCTGCAAGCATAAGAAATATTGCCGGTACATCCGTGGACATCTTCAAGAGAAACCTAGACTGTTTTCTAATAGAGGTTCCAGGCCATCCTGGCTGTGGTGGGTATGTGGGCCTGCGGGCTGCTCCAAGCAGCAGCCTGGTGGACCAACCTCTCACAAGTCAAACCTAGCCTCAGGCCGGGCTTGGGGAGTAAATGAACTCCCAGAACCCCATCGAGCAGGTATCTCCGCCTTCGGTCGCCTGGTGTGCAGGTTCCTGGGCCTGCTGGGCTCGTCGTGTCTCCATTGGCCCTGTCTGGGATCGGCCTGGAGTCTGCTTGCACCATTCTCTACCTTCGAAGAGACATGTTGCTGCTGCACGTGTGTATTGGTAACGTGTTTCACGGTGGCGTGTCCTTGTTCCTGTGTCAGGATGTTGTGGTGTGACACTTTGCTCCTGTTTTGTGCCTGGGGTTGCATGTTGGGGTTTGCTTGTGTTGTTTTTCGTGGTCTTTGGGTCCCCTGGCTTGGCCCTTCCATGTGTGTGGGATTCTGTCCACTCCTGATTATCCACCCCTGGTTGTGTTTCCTGGGGTTTGAGCTTTGGCTCTTTCATCCTGCCTCTCCCCTGTCGCTTCCCTGGCATCTCCTTTGCTCGGTTTTGCCTGCACTTGCTGCTGTATGGAGGGGGGTCGGTTTCCGCCGCTTCCCTTCCTTATGCGTTCCCTTTGTTTCCTCCTCTGCCGCAGGAATTTTCCTTCATGCGTTCCTTGCCTTCTCAGGCGTTCCTTCAGCCTGTGTCATATGGTGCGCTTGTGTGTCTTGGTCTGTTTTCGTTGCTCATACCCCTTGGTTTGGGTACTGGTCTGGTGGCAACCCTTACCCCTTCTTCGGTTTTCCTGGCTTACCCTGCCTGTTGGCTTTTCAGGGTCTTGCGATGTCTCGAGTCGGACCCGTCGTTTCTGTTCTCCTGGCGGGCTTGCTCGCATTGGGAGCTTTCTGTTCGGCAGACATTCCATCTCCTTATTTGCCGGCTTGGGCTTCTTTGGTGGTCGCACCCGGATCTTCCCGTGGCTCCGCCTCTTCCTGGGCTCGGATGAGCCTTGTCGGGGCTGATTACGTTCTGCCTTGCATGTCTCACCTCCAGTTGGTGGTCTGGTGGCTTCGTTGTTGGTGTCTCACCTGTATGCTTCTTGTTGGCGGCAGTTTGGGGTATTTTGGGGATCCTTCCTTTTCCTCCTGTCCCTTTTTAGGTGGCTGCGGTTGTTAGTGTTGACTTGGTTTTTCTGGTGGGGATTGGGGGCCGTCGTCTTGCCACATACTGTCGCCTCGTTTTGTGTAGCGCTGGCGGAGCCACTTCGGCTTGCTTTCGGTCTTGGTGTTGCTTCTGCACAATTAGTAAGCTGTCTCGTGCGTTGTTTCACCTCCGGCCTGTTCGTGCGCCGCTTGCAACGTCCTGGTCTCTGGTCAGCGTGTTCTGTCTTCTCCTCGGTTGGTGGTGCCCCTTCGATTCAGGTTTGTTTCTCGATGACTCTTTTTCCTGTTGGCATTTGCCTCTGGGGGTCGGGTCGCTGGGCTTCTTAATCTCCTATTGGGTTTCTGCTCCTTCGGTCTTGGCGTTTTGGTTGTTCGGTGGCAGCCGTCTCCATCTTTTCTGGCACAGGATGGGGCTGCTGTGTTCCGGAGGGGTCCTTGGTTTGTTGGTGCTTGGTTGGTCGGGCCGGGGGTGCATCGTGTTTTGTGTTCAGTGGCGGCCCTCTGCTGTTATTTGCGTGCCGTGGCCTCTATGTCCGGGACACGCTTTGAGCTGATCCGGTTCCGTTCTTCCCTGTTCGCGGGTGAAGGTGTCCCGGGTTATCCGCCATGTTATTGCGGCTAGCCTGCTTGTGTTCTTTCCCCATGCCCGTGGCGTTCGTGACT